TATGTCTACCAGGGGGCGCGAGTGGTGCTGTGGTCTAAACCACTGAGCCTCTTGGGCTTGCCGATCGGAAGGTCAGCAGTTCGAATCCCCGTGACGGGGTGAGCTCTCATTGCTCTGTCCCAGCTCCTGCCAACCTAGCAGTTTGAAAGCACACCAGTGCAAGTAGATAAAAAGGTACCGCTGCAGTGGGAAGGTAAACAGTGTTTCTGTGCGCTCTGGTTTCTGTCATGGTGTCCCATTGCACCAGAAGCGGTTTAGTCCTGCTGGCCACATGACCCGGAAAGCTGTCTGTGGACAAATGCCGGCTCCCTCCGCCTGAAAAGCGAGATGAGCGCCGCAACCTCATAGTCGCCTTGACTGAACTTAACCGTCCACGGGTCCTTTACCTTTTTTTAATATCTCCACATGGCATGACAGTGGAACAAACTCCCTCGGAAAGTGATGGACTCTCCTTCAGTAGCCTTTTTTACCTGGGTCCTCTCTTCCCACCCACCCCCTTTGAAGATGGGGACAACTGTTGCCCACCTCCGGTCTTCAGGGACCTCACCTGTTCTCCAATAATTCTCATAGATTATAGGCAGAGGCTCTGAGATTACACCCGCAAGCTCTTTGGTGTCCTTGGGTGCAGTTTATCAAGCCCTGGAGATTTGAATTCATTTAAAGTAGCATGAGTTTTCGAAGCTACCAGCATGAGTTTGACCAAACTGCGGGAGGTAGTGGAGGACAGAGGTGCCTGGCGTGCTCTGGTCCATGGGGTCACGAAGAGTCGGACACGACTAAACGACTAAACAACAACAACAAAGTAGCTAGGTGCTCCCTAGCTAGGTGCTCCTAAAGCTTTGGTTTTCCCAGCAGTGATGTATGGAAGTGAGAGCTGGACCATAAAGAAGGCTGATCACCGAAGAATGGATGCTTTTGAATTATGGTGCTAGAGGAGACTCAATGAGTTTTCGAAACTACCAACATGAGTTTGACTAAACTGCGGGAGGCAGTGGAAGCCAGAAGTGCCTGGCGTGCTCTGGTCCAGGAGGTCACGAAGAGTCAGACACGACTAAACGACAACAAGGTGCTCCCTTACCACATTCCCCCCCCCCATCTTGGGCTGCAGCTCCCTCCCTAGACCACTTGTTCGGTTATCACCAGGTTGGGCACCACTTTCCTTTTGGGTGAAGACAAGAGGCAAAGTTGTCAGCCAGTAACATTTTCCAGTCTTCTCCGTGCAGAGGACCTACTGCCACTTGCTTGTTCTTTCTCTTGCTTTGAACACAGCTGGAGAAACCTTTTATTATTGTTTCTAACCTCTCTTGCAAGGGCTTGCCAAGGGCTGTAAAAAGAGATGGTGCATTGCAGGAATGTGTCCTCCTCTTGGAATTTCAGGGAGGAGACAGTGGTTGATTTCAACCAAACGGAGATTTGTGGGGCTTAAGTTTCCATGGAAAACCCTCCCTCATTTCCCGGGAGGCTCCCTTCGCCCAGCTGTGTGTCAAACAGTCGATATTTCTGAAACCCTGGAGAGCTGCTACTGCAGCCAGTGCAGACTATATGTAGCTAGGTGGAGCAGTGGTCTGACTCAGTCAGAGGCAGCTGCCTCTGTTGCAAATTACTGGAGTGGGGAGGACACACTTGTGGGTGCTTGCTCCTCCATCATTGTGTTACCGCTTGCTCGGTTCCATCTCTGAAGCTGGGAGCCCATTTAGGGTCAAGGTGGGCACTGGAAGGGGTGCCAAGAGGTAACACTTGGGCAGAGCCATAGCTTCCTGCATCCCAGAAAGGGGGCTGTCCAGCTTTCTGCTCTCTAACTGGCCTCCTGCCCCAAATGGCTCGTTGCTATTATTACATCTCATTCACACACACACACACACACACACACACACACACTTCAGTTTTTTTCATATATCATTTACATTCAAATAAAATCAATTTTATACATTTATAGGATTCCTTGAATTTATGAGGAACGGCTAAGGGAGCTGGGCATGTTTAGCCTGGAGAAGAGGAGGTTAAGGGGTGATATGATAGCCATGTTCAAATATATAAAAGGATGTCATATAGAGGAGGGAGAAAGGTTGTTTTCTGCTGCTCCAGAGAAGTGGACATGGTGCAATGGATCCAAACTACAAGAAAGAAGATTCCACCTAAACATTAGGAAGAACTTCCTGACAGTAAGAGCTGTTTGACAGTGGAATTTGCTGCCAAGGAGTGTGGAGGAGTCTCCTTCTTTGGAGGTCTTTAAGCAGAGGCTTGACAACCATATGTCAGGAGTGCTCTGATGGTGTTTCCTGCTTGGCAGGGGGTTGGACTCGATGGCCCTTGTGGTCTCCTCCAACTCTATGATTCTATGATTCTATGATTCTTAGACCTCCCCTTGCCCCGCCATGGTTTCCATTGCAAATCTTTTCCCGCTGCATCTTATAACATTTATCCAAATTTTTGTTTAAATCCTGTTTTAACCATAAAATTCATACATTACAAGTGTGATATCGGTCCTGTTAACGTTTTGAAACTTTTACAGTGCTTTCTAAGGTAATCTATAAACTTTCCCCATTCTTTATTAAATTTCTTGTCTTCTTGGTTTCTGATTCTCTCGGTCAATTTAGCCATTTCAGCATAGTCCCTCATCTTGAGTATCCATTCTTTTCTGGCTTGAACTTTGTCTTTCTTCCATCTCTGATGGAAAAGCATCCTCATAGCTGTCTTCACACACATAAAAAGTCTTTTCTGCTCCCTTGGTATTTCTTCGATTCATTACATATAATTTCCCAGAATGCTTTTGTTGTTTTGCACATCCACCACATGTGGTGGAAAGTGCCTTCTTTCTCTTTACATTTCCAACATATATTGGTACAATTCTATACATTTTTGCTAACCTAGTAGGAGTTAGATACCAACGATACATCGTTTTCATATATGGTAGTTCTCTTTCAATGTGCAGCATGCTATTATTACATCTCTGTCCCACGTTTGGTCCAAGAAACTCTTCCGCTCCTCATTTAATCCCCACAACGACCCTATGAGGAAGGCTCAGTTGAGAGGCAGTGACTGGCCTATGGTCACCCCCAGGGAGCTTTGTGGCCAAGTGGGGATTCAAACCCTGGTCTCCTGGGTCCTGTTCCGACACGATAACCAATGCACGGTGCTGCGTCTAATTGTCCTCTTGGTCTAAATCCTTTTTCTTGGGCATAGAGGGCAGGAAGCGAGAAGGAACTAGGCAGGAAAGGTCTTGGGTGGGGGGAAGCTGAGGAGGCAGGAAAGGGAGATGTGTGGGGGGGGGTTTGGAGTCTGTGAGTGCCTGACAACCTGGGAGTCTCATTCTCTGGCTTGGAGGAGCTTGCTTTCAGCCCAAATACTGTGTTGCTGTAGCTGAGCATCCTTTCCTGATTTATGTTGTTAGCTGCCCTGAGCCCGGCTCCAACCGGGGAGGGTGGGGTACAAATAAAAATTTATTTTTATTAGTTTTATTAAAAGCACTCTGCACATGCTCTGCCTTTACTGTCACTTCACCATTTTCTGTGTCCTGTGAGGCGGCTTTGAGGAGGCCTTGGGTCATGGCGGGGAATGATAAAATTATCAGGAATAACGTGGGGTGGGGGGGAGGACCAAGGAGGGAGCTTCTATGGGGCGGAATCCGCCCCCAGCCGCGGCTTCTGTCTTGCGGAGATGGGCGCTCATCTGCCTCCAGCACCAGCAGGAATCCAACAGGTGCCAGCTCCCGTTGCCAGGAGAGAAAGCTCCACCTGTTGAAAGCCTGCCTGCTGCGTTCCTTTTTAAGCCTTTCCCTCCTTTCCCCGCTAAAAACCCTTGCAGCCCTGGTCGTGCCGGGGAGGGGAGGGGGCGGCTTCGAGGTGGAGAAGGAGGGTCTTCGGTGGGCAAAGCAGGCCGGCCGCGTTCAGTCGCGGACACTCGAGAGCAGCTCCAGAGGGGCTGGGAAGGGCGAGCCGGGCAGGCAAGGAAGGGGGGTGGGAGGAAAGGAGCAGGAGTGCCCGCTTGGGCCCGTGAGCATGGGTGCCCGGGGCCGTGGGTGCCACGCAGCGTGCATGCCCCTGGCTCCGAAATTTGTGGGTGCCCGGCCGCTCCATGGGGAATTTTGTGGGTGCACGGGCACCCAGGGCGTTGGCACCCATGGAAGGGAAGGTCTGCACGATGCCAACGCGTCTCCCGGGGTTGCCAGCTTCGTTCAGCCGGGCGGCGAGGTCCTGGCTGCCCATAAAACCACGGAGGGAGGGGACATGTCTGTTCAAAGCCCCATTGCCTTGGGAGCGCGGGCAGAAGGCAGCGCCAACGCTGGCGCATCCCTGCCTTGCCGGGGGTTGGACTAGATGACCCGGCGGGGTCCGTCGCCACGCCACGCTCCTCCGACTCCCGTCGGCAGGCAGGGAGGGGTCCGGCCCGGGTGGGTCCCCGCCTCCCGCCGGAGGAAGAGGAGGAGCCGCTTGGCGGCGGCGGCGGCACCTGCAGCATCCCGGCACCAGCAGCATCAGCACCACCAGGCTCCGCCAGAGCCGGCCCGTCGTCGCCATGTGGCGGCGGGCGGCGCAGCGGCGGGCGCGGCGCGGGGGCGCAGCGGAGGCGGCGGGTGCCGGGCGCCGTCGGCGGGCGAGCTGAGCCGGGCGGCGCGAAGCAGGGGCCGGCGCGGGGCGCGGGGCTGGCCGAGCCATGGCGCTGCCCTGGGCGGAGGCGGCGGAGCGCGGAGGCGGACGCAGCGCCCGGCCGCAGCCTCGCTGGCCCGGCGGCGCCCCGGGCGGACGACGAGCGGCGGGCCCCGTCTCGTGGCGGCGGCCCCGGCGGAGGCTGGTGGCGCCGCTGCCCGGGATGCGCTGAGCCCCGACCAGCCCCCTCCCCTCGCTCGCCGAGCCCTCCCTCTGCGCTCCTCCTGCCTTCTTCCCGGGCGGGCCCCGATCCAAGGAGGGCTCCCTCGGGGCGGCCATGGCGCTCCCGCAGCAGCAGCAGCAGACGCCGCCGCCGCCGGGCAACACCACCGTAACGTATATTTTCGTTTACAGCCCCAGCGGGAGCGGCAGCGGGCCGGGGGGCGCGCCGGGGGCCGGTCCGGGCGTGGAGCACACCCCGCACGCCGCGCCGGCCCCGCTGCGAGGGCCCAAGAGGAAGCTGTACAGCGCCGTGCCCGGCCGCAAGTTCATCGCCGTCAAGAGCTACACGCCGCAGGGCGAGGGCGAGATCCAGCTCAACCGAGGAGAAGCCGTCAAGGGTGAGTGCCAGAGCGGGGTGGGGGGGTAGGGGGCACGTGGGAGGAAGAGGGGGCAGTTGGACACACCTCCTTCATGGGGGGGGGGAGACGGAGGGAGGAGGAGGAGCTGGGAAGATGCGCTGCCCACCCACTCATCTGGTACCCAATTTGCTGGAGCATCCTTAGATTGACTTGGCACTGGCAGATAACTTTTGGTAAAGTGGGGTGGGTGGATATGGCAAGCCTAGGCTGGGCAGGGTCACCCAGAGGAGATGTTGCCCATAATATGCTTTGGGAAGTAGAGGCAATGGGTTCAAGGGAGTGCATAGGGGATTCTTCTGGGTGGGGGGAAGGGTTCGGTCTGGGTGATTGGGGAGCATTTGTGTTTAGAGTGGACTCTGGGTCAGAGGGTCTTCCTGGACCCAACAGCAGCCAGGCAGATGTCTCTGAAAGATGGGTAGGTGGTGGCACCCCAAGTCCTCCCCCCCCCAGAATATACTGTGGGTCTGAAATTTGGGGATTTCCCACCTGCCAGGTTGTAGAGGTGGTTATTGTGGGCCGCGTTGGCCTTCCTGTGAGATGGCAAAAGAGGTCTTGTTTTCCTTCAGCCACTGTTGGCACAGATGCATCTTCTGGGCAAAGGATGGTCAGATCTTGCCATTGAGATTTGCTTGGTGCTTGACTTCCTCCCTGCAGGATGGGGGGGGGGAGAGATTTATTGCAAATAGGAGAATTACCCTTACGTCTGCGTACTCATTAAAAATGTGCCACTGTGAATCGCTGGCAAATGGATTGTGTCTCTGGCCGGATTGATGAAGCTCCAGGGTTCATTTTAGGACACGGGTGACCCAACTGCACCTGCCGGCAATTTCTGTTGTCGCTTTTAGCAGATATGGAGCAGCACTCCTTCCATTTGTGGGTGCAAGTAACCGGGGGTCTGAGCACAACTTCTGTGCTCGTGCAATGCAACAGATGGGCAAAGAGCTGGCAACTCGTCTGGGCTTATGCAGCAGGCGGGTGTCAGAAGAACTGTCGCATCTGGGTTTCGTGTGAGATGCCTGGTTCACCTCCCCCAGTCCCTGGGGAAGTGTGCTTGCGAGGGTCTCGGTTGCAGCTCACTGTTCTGTTGCGAGTTCCTGGTGCAAAGACAAGAATGCACTTCGTAAGCTCCCATTTTTCGTGGAGGTGTAGTATCGCCTGCTGGTTGAAATTGTGACATGTGAAGCAGCTCTTCTGGCTGGAAGCAACACAGCAAGTGGTTTCTTAGAACTTGGAGCCAGAACGCTCTATGCCTGGAGTGTTCCTGACAGATGGCTATTCCTTGCAAACGTCCAAGGAAACGGGAATCTGCAGCTTCCCTCACTGGGTATCCACTCCTGCTGCTGAACCGCACTAGTTTCCAAGCTGTTTTAACCCTCAGGACCGTAACCCAATTCAGCCTTGGGACTAACTAAGCCTGCTTAAGAAGACCTTTGCAAAACTACAGGGGCCCTTGAAACATTTTTTATTTTTTTTAAAGGACTGGTTGATCTCCACGGTGTGCCTATGCCTTTACTCAGATACACCTCCGATCTATCGTTTTGTCTACTGGATGCTATCATTTTGGGTTATTCTCTGCCAGGTGGTAAAGAGTCAGTCGGTCAGTGCATTACTCCAAAGCCTTGGGGGCTGGCCAGTCCAACCTTCTGAACTGGAGACTCGGTGCCAAGCTGGGCATGATGCTTGTCGTACCATTTGCCTTTGCTTGGCTGTTTTAAAGAGTGGATAGTTGAAGAAGAGAGCCGGATCGCGCCCATAGCATGGCACAGGGGAGCATTGATCCTTTGCTTCTGCTGTGGTCAGAATCGGAGCCAGACCCCCACCCACCTCCCCCAAACACCTGCTGGGGAAACTGCCTTGCCACCAATCAGAGCCTTCCTCCCATTGCCTGCGGCAGGTGCTTTGGCCGTGCATTGGCAAGCAGCAAATGTCAGGCCTGGCTCGGTCCTCACTTTGCCCTCCATGCCCTCTGCTTGCGGTGGCTGTTGTTACCAGGGCACTGATGAGCATCTTGAGCTGTGATGTAGCTCATGGCTTAACCTCCTTAAGAAACTCAGAAGAGCTCCCCCGGGTCAGCCCAGAGGCCAGTTCTTCACGGTGGCCAAACAGGCGCTTCTGCAAAGCCAGCAACCAGGACCTGAGCGCGGCAGAACTTTACACATTGGTGAGCTCCAATAACTGGTCTTCAGAGACGTCCTACTTCAGGCAGTGGAGGGCAGGACACAGCCATTGTGGCTGGACCTTCCCTGAGGAATGAAGGTGCAAGAGAGCAGAACATTTGCAGAATCGGGGAGAAGGACTTGGCTGGCACAGTAAAAAATAAACCCGGCCGGGGAAGAGTCGGGATGGTGAGCAAGTCTAAAGACCTTTCTGGCTGATGGCTTCAAAGTCATTCTAGCTGGGTCAAGGTTTACATGGTCAGTGGCACAGAGGAGAGAGGACAGACTGTGTCACAAGAACGAAGGCACAACAAAGCTGGCTTTTTAAAGATACTAAGGAGTTGCTGAGAAATTCTGCAAGACCAATGGTCTGACTGTACAAGGCAGCATCTTGAGTTCACTTACGGTTCGGCTACTCCTGCACGTGTAAAATCCAACAAATTTTCTCCTTGAAATTTTGCGTATCTTCTGATTTTGAAGCTTTTGTTTGTTTGGAGGCACCTATAGAAAACAGGATGGGGGGTGTTGTTGCTATGATTTATCTAGAAAATATCAATTTATTCTATAATCTGCCTTTCAGCCAAAATATTCTCAAAGCAGAGCAATGATAAAACGCCTCTCTAATAAAACAATCAGCTAATCACAATGTGAAACAGCCAAAAACAAAACAAAAAAAAACCCAGCAGGAGAAATTAAAATAGCATCACAGAGAACTAAACCTACTCAGGTTAGAAGCCTGCCTGCAAATTAAAAAGACTTACCGTATTTTTTGCTCTATAAGACTCACTTTTTCCCTCCTGAAAAGTAAGGGGAAATGTGTGTGCGTCTTATGGAGCGAATGCAGGCTGTGCAGCTATCCCAAAAGCCAGAACAGCAAGAGGGATTGCTGTTTTCACTGCACAGCGATCCCTCTTGCTGTTCTGGCTTCTGAGATTCAGAATAATTTTTTCTTGTTTTCCTCCTCCAAAAATTAGGTGCGTCTTGTGGTCTGGTGCGTCTTATAGAGCGAAAAATACGGTAATTACACACACCTAAATCGACTAAGCTTTTGAGTGTGAACCTAGGGAAGGGTTAATGTTTACCATGTGACCACCACCCTAATTTCTTCCCTGGATTTGCATCTCCAAATAATTGATACTGTTTCCAGAGTTGCATGGATCTGTTATTCTGCAGAATTCTGAGACTTGATTCTGACCATTCTGTGTCTGCAGAATTTGTATTTCCCTGCCCCATTTGCTGTAAGACTGTGGGACATATGGCTGAAAGGTCCTGCTTTTTGCCAGTAGATTGTTCCAGGTGACTTCTGGTCCCTTTGCATGAAGATAGGAATTCAGAGGAGCAACGTGCAGCCCAGCCTGGACAAGGGGGCAAATGAGCTAAGCCAAGACCAGCGCTATCATGCAGACAAACCTTTGGAGAAGGTGAAATGGGTTAGTAGAAGACCAAGCAAGCGCTGTAGCGCAGAGGTGGGGCCTATCTGTGGTCCTCCAGATGTGGCTGTACTCCAGCTCCCATCAAAGATGGTCCATGGGCAGGGATGATGGGAGCCCCCTCCCCAGGACCCCCAGCCCTACCCTACAGCAAAATCCATGTTCTGGAAGGAGGACAGTGTTTGTGTGATGGCTTTGTGAATTCCGCATGCGGATCAGGCTTTGCTGGAGCTGTTGCCAGGAAGGACTTGCGTCTCACTGCCATGGTTACGGGGAAAGCTCTCTTCAGAGCATCGTGTGATGCGGGTGGCCTGTCAAAGGGTGTAAGAGGAATGGAGAGGATTGCACAAGATGGGTTTTTTTGTACCACCTGCTTTGAACGATCCAGGGGCATGCCAAAAACAAAACTCCAAAGAAGACCGTCCTTACTAATTTGAAATTGCAGCCCCACCTAGAAACCTTGCTCCTAAATCTGTTGGTCCCACTGCTGATATGACCACAAATTCCTTTCCACCTCTTTGAAGCTGTCTGGTATATGTCAAGGTGGTGTTCATGTTGTGTGTGTTGCCCCTGGAAAGGATAAGTCCTGCTCTTCACCAGCCTTCTGATTTCACTCATTGGCTCAAATCACCGACAGGCAGAAGCAGCCAGGCTGCCTCATTCCACGAAAATTTCTTAGAAGGATGCCTGCACATTTTGCTTTATAACTTTCTTTCAAAGAGGGCTAGATGCTTTTAAAAAATTATTTTATTTTGACAAACTAATGATCATAAATAAATAAGAATAAAAATATGCACCCCACCACCAAAACCATTCCATTGTAACTATCCAACCTCCCAAAATTTCAACACCTCTTGTGATGGTTTGAACCCTTTCCGTTTTAACAGTACAAATTCTACAAACACCTTCCAGATCTCCCCAAAATCATTTCTCCTGCATATTCCCCGTCTTACCTTAACTTGATGCTTTTCTTGCAAAAATCAAAGTTCTGAGCCTGGGGTCCCCAACAGCGGCGTAGCGTGGGTTGTCAGCACCCGGGGCAAGGCAAGTAATTTGCACCCCCTAACCCGTGGATTTGCGCCCCCTAACCTGTGGATTTGCGCCCCCTAACCCATGGATTTGCCCTAACCCCAGATGTTGCGCCCGGTGCGGCCGGCCCCCCCCCGCACCCCCCACGCTACGCCACTGGTCCCCAATGAAGGTCTTCATGGCCACCGGGTTGGCAACCCCAGTTTTAAGAGGAGACGCTGCCAGAGACTGAACCTGGGACCTTCTTCTGAACTATGCTCCCAATCTTCCTGCCCTTTGACCTTCCGAAGAGCTCCTTCCCCAGAGCTCTTGACATTTTCCTTCCCTTTCAGCCCCTGCTGCCCTACGATTGGGCCCTTGCCTG